AAATGCTAGAAAATATAGATATAAAATACCAAATTTCATTAAAATCTGTCAACGGAGGTAAAAGTTATGGATTTTTCAAATAGTATTTCTTAGTTGAAACACCCTGTAGTTATAATTATCCTGTTTAATAAAAGCTCAAATAGTAATTACCTCCGCTCTATTAACTACCTCCCTTCAGCGAGAGGTTGAAACAATAATTACCCAGGGTAATTATTAGAGCATATACGGTAATTCTATTATTCGGATGTAATTTGTAAAATATATTTCCTATTTTTAGCCTTTCTAAAATTTATGTTTGCTTTAATATTCTTGATTAAGTTTGGCGGATCCGGACACAAAAAAGACGCGATATGCGAAATCATCAATTCGGATATCGGATCCGGATCCCGAAGATTTCCAAGTATCTGCCATCCCTTTTTCCTTTTTAATGTAAATTATTTAGTGGTCTGTCATTTTTCAACCTGCATTTATTTTATCCAATTTCACAACCATTTCTGACTGACTATACAAGTTTAAACTTTCAAAATTCTCATTTTTTTGATGTTACTGATGGCCTATTCTGGTTTTTAATATTGTGTTGATTTTTACGTACTTCGCTTACCCTTTTATGGCTCGCTTATCATTATTTTACTAGCTTATTAATTTGGGAAATAAATATTTTTACTTTGGTTGGCTTGGAAATGAACGACTAGGCGCCCTAGTTTTATAATAAAAATAAAAATTATTTTTTAATTCCTCCTTTCTTTTTTGTGCAAGAATTTCTAATTATATAGTCCTTTAGGAAAAAGAACACATTCAGATCTACTTGCCCTTCCAAAACTCTCAAAATTTTCGCCAGCGTCGCAGAAAAAGGAAGAACATTGCCAACAGTTTATCCCCCGATATTCCCCTAGATCCTCGATCGAGTATTCCCAATTAATTTAATTATTAACTCATGATAAAAAAATCATTTATGTATACTATTTACAAAAATTTAATTAAAAAACAAAATAATTTTTATTTCACTCCCAAGCTTTTTTAAGCATTTCAAAGTGTTTCTGACACAATTCAGTTTTCTCTTTAATAATTAAATTCCCTCCATCTATATTCAAAGGAAGTTGTCCTAACAACGTTGGAGCTTTTCACTTGGAACTATTTTAGTTGAAGAAACTTTATAAATTTTATTTTGGAATGTTTTCAAAAGTTGTTTGAATTGTTTATTTAGAATTGGATGAAAACTAAAAATTAATTGTTGATAAAATATTTAATAATTATAAAGTTATTTTCTTAATTTTGATTTTTTCGAAGCCAGATTTGAATTAACTGATAAAAAATATCCGTAAATAATTGAAATAGATTTGGAGACATTCTAAAGTTAATAACTTACATAATTACTGTTATTTGGATAGATAAATTACAACAAGCTGTTATTACAAAGACAAAAGTGAAAATTAGATTAATAGAAGTTTGATCCTAAAATATATAAATTGTATTTAATTTAAAATATTCTTGATTTATGAACTTATAACAAAAATCAGAAAGGCGTTTTGGGATACATTTTTATTTTATGTATATTTCTGTACTTTTAGCATACCTTTAAATGTATGAAGCTAAATACAATAGTTACTCCACTGGAAATTATTATGTTAATAAAATGTAATATAAAAGTTGGTTTTAATTGACGGCTAGTGCGAATATTCTCAGATAACTAAAATTAATAAAATATTTAACTGCTAGAATATAATTTGCATAAATTTATGTAATATTGTTTTTTTCGAAAATACCTATGCGAGAAAAATAGAGCAAAAATTGGAGCGATGCTTTCCTGGTTCTGTTTAAAAAACCTGAAAAACAGGAATTGCCATAATTTTGGAATAATCTGATTCAGTTTTAGAACTAGGAAAGCAACGACTTGAAGGTTCTTATAAAAAATTTAAACAAATTAAAATATTGCCTGATATCTTTCTGAAAGGCTATGTTTAAAATAAAGGAATGTATTTAATTTATATTTTGTATTATTGTAATACCCAATGTATCCAATTATCTGAAATTTAAATTCAAAATTAATTTAAAACTTTTAAATTTAAAATAATTCCAAAAATAAATATAATTTTATCATTTACAGCAATTTCAAGTAAACCAAAAAATAAAGTTCCATAAATAGTAATTAGCGTTCCCAAGGCAACATCAAATACAGAATCGCCATAATATGTTTGGTGATAGGCATTTTGAAATGAAAGAAACATCTGAAAATTTTAGAAATTCTTAGAAAAATTGTTTTTTTTTCTTTATTTCTTTAAATTGTATAAGGTAATTTATTTTTTGTTTAAATTAAAAAACAAACCACAATAATAAAACAAAAAATACTAAAATAAGGCTTTTTATTATTTTCATATTTCGACACAAAAACAGTAGCTAATATTCTTTCGAGAAGGAGAACATGTCCAATGAATGTGCCTAATATCATACTTGCCAATACAAAAAATTGTAAAAATTTGAATTGATTATAAAAGTCGATATTATTAATTAATTTTCCCAAAATCTTTAAAATTTATTTTTAAATATTTAAATTCAGTTTAGACATATGTATCTCCTATTGCTGGGATAAAACCCATTATCGTTAAGAATGTACATAGATAAATAACCAAAAGAATTTGTAGCCAAAAAAATCTGATAAACCAAAAGAATCTGATAAAAATATTTTGCCAAAATGTATTTTAGTCATACGAATTTCCGAAAAATTTCCATCGTTAGGGGTGTATTTTTAAAACCGAAACCGGGGTGTAAAATTATTTTACAGTGTAAAATTATAATTTATATTAATATTATTATACCTGTACAGTTCTACTAATCCCATAAATTAAATTACAAAAGCATTGCCACAATAAAATAAATTTTAAATTCCAATGTAATAAAGATGTACGTACAATAAGAAATACAAAAATAAATGAAATTGGTAATAAAATTAAATGAATTAAAAGTTCAATATATCCAATTGAATTACAAAATATTTGAACAGAATTATTATTTATTTGAGAAATATTTTCTGTTGTCATTTTAATTTTTTTTCTTTAAATTTTTAAAATAAATTAAAAAAATTATTTTTGTAATATTTCTATTTAACTTTTAATTAAAAATTTAAAATTCCATTTACAAGGAAATATGAAAACACACAAAAAATTGTTAATTAAAATTTGAATAAAAATTTTGTTGTAGATTTTGTATTTTAGAAATGTAAAAAAATGCAAAAAAAAGATTTAGTTTTGCGATTAAAAATTCTTTTTATTAATTAAATTAGCAGATGTTAATAAATTAAAAAATTGTAAATAAATGAAATATTAATTTTTAATAATTTAAACAAAATTTCTAAATAAATTCTCTGCGTTTTTAATCTATTAATTTCTATAATAAAATTTATTAATAAATAATTAGGAGGCTAAATTAATATTTAGATAAAAGAAATATTTATAAAATGTCAAAAGAGCCATGGCATTTGAATTTTAATTGACACCCTTTCTAATAAAATAAAAATAAATTTTTTGAACTTTAAAAACAATATGCACATATACATACTATTTACAAATATAAATATGTAGTAATTAATTAGAAAGAAATTAATAAAAATTAAATTTAAATACAATTAAATCTTAATAGATTAAAACATAATTTTTATTAGTTTTGAATTTATTTTACGCGCGGATAAATAGGAATTTACAAAAAAATATTTAACTCGCAAATATATTTTTAATCAAATTTTAAATAAATTTAAATAAACCGATAATTTGAATGTAAGCATTAATCAGTCAATAATTTTTATCAAATTATAATAAAAATATATTTTGACAATAAAAGCATATAAATCTTTTTATTTTTAAGCTCATTTTATATCGAAATTAATCAAAATCCATTCAAATGTTTATTCTTAACGTCTTCCCCATCCCCAATGATGTCCTCCATGATGACCCCAATGTCCCCAGCGACGAACTAAAAATAAAAAAAATATAAAAATTAATAAATATTATAGCTATGCTAATTTTGATTCCTTTTCTAAGACCTCAATTTTTGATAGGTTATTTTAAGCAAAAAATGACAAGGAAGGGATTTTGTTTATTTTAGTTGTGATTTGTTAATTATTAATTTAAAATTAAATTTCTTTAATGAAGTTAACTAGATATTGGCACAGAAAATCGTAGAAAAATTTACTAAATTAGATCCCCCATTCTTTGATAAAAAATAATTTATTAAAAAATTTAAACTAACATCTTCCCCCATTTTCTCCATTTTCAATTTCAACGTTCATTTCGGCTGTAATGAATGTAGATAAAATTAAAATGAAGGCGAGAAAAAGAATTAATTGGGAAAGGAATTTCTTCATTTTTTTGTTTTTAAAGAATTATTTTTTTAATTTTGAAAAATTAATTGTTTTTAAATATTTTATTTTCTGTCCTTATATATATTAAAAATTTTAAGAGGAATTTATTTTTTATTAGTTATTTTTTAAAATTTATTTCCTTAAATTAGTTCAATTTAAACTTACTAATTAATTTAAAAAAACAAGGAACTAGTTATTTAATTTTTTGTTTAAATTTAGTTCTTTTTAAAGTTTTATTTAAAAAAAGTTTATATTAGTAAGTAAATAAACTACACTAGTTCAAATATATATACTAAATTTAATATTATTTACTTACTAATTAATTTTTAAAGGAAGTTAATTTAAAAATTTAGTTAAGCTAATTAATTCTGTTTTCTCAAAACAAATTACACCCAAATGATAAAATCATTTTATAGAACATATATTATTTATATTTATTCATGTATGAATTAAATATATTTATACTAGAGGTCGGCAAAATCGCAATTTCCGGGATGAAGAAGCTTAATCATCTACTTCATCAAAACCGAAACATTAAGCTTTTAAATAGAAAAAATAAAATTTATCAAGAAATAAAATAAACAGAAAAATATAAAAATTGGAGAGAAATTATAAATTTATTCTTTGAAACAAATTAAAATCTTTTTAATTATTGTTCGTTTTCATTATCAGCATAGGGCATTTCATCAACTATAAGTTTTACTGGATCGAGCCTCTTAATTTAATTCTTAATTATTTACTTGATAATATTAAAAACACAACAAATACATAATTAATTTGTTAAATGAATAAATAGTCTGATCTGAATTGTACGTCATGTATTTGTACATCACTTTCAGCTCAACGTTTGATTTTTCTGCGGAGGTGTAGCACAACTGAGATCCGACGGTTATTATTAAATAAAGCAAATATTCAATTTAGTTCAAATTCAATTTAGCCGTTAAAATTCTATTAAACTTAGGAAAAACCCATAAGTCAGCCTGGGATTTTGACAGTTTTTTAGTTTTGGACATATGGGAACTTGATCTAAATAAGTTAAAAATTTTATATTTAATTTTCAAAAATACAAACAAAAAATTAGTATACATCATGTAAAAATTAAAAATACAAAAGATTTTATTGCCTATTTTTTGTTAAAATGGCACAGCAACACTTTGTTAAAGAAATTTTTCAATCATTCGAAACCTTAAGTTGCCCGTTTGATTGTCCAGTTATCTGTGTTGGAGTGTGTGATGGAGTAGCTACACCAGACGAAGTTTGGTGTTGTTCATGTAAATGTAATGAATTATAATGGTGTTGGTGTTCTGGACTAGATGAGGAGGCTATTGCTGCTTTATTGTTTAGCTGTGATAGAAAAAGGAAATTTTAGTCATTTTTGTTAGAATATTATGTATTTTTGTGGGATTAGGGTATCTATATGTATTCGAGCCTTTAGTCATTTTTGAGTTCGAGTTTTTCATGAATCCCAAATTCTGGGATCTGAAAAATTTAAGGAAAATAAATTTAAAAAATATTCATATTTATGATCCCACGAAACTGAATTAGGTTAAGTTAAAAAAGTACGAATTTCACAAACCCATAATTTCAAAATATGCAATTACAAGTATAAAATGATAACAAAAATCTACCATTATAGCTCCATGAGAACCTCCATGTGAACCGATAGTTCCATGTGCCCCATGTTGAGGAGTTAAATTAGTGTGTCTTGTAGAAGTAGAATCTTTAATGATCTTTTTGGAAATATTTTAAAAAATATTTCTACCTAACATTCTGTCCATCTCAATTTTATGTGTCCAATTGTCTATAGGCTTTGCGGAATGGTAATGTCTATAGTTATTCGAAGGTCTAGATACACTTAAAGAGGACTGTTCTGATTGATCATCCAAACGCTGATTTTTTAAAATTAAAAAAATATTTTTAGATATTAAAAAATCCACAACCTTATAGCTTAATAGGACAACCTAAATTTTCAAGTTGAAAAATTTTATAAATTAAAATATGAGGATATGATTTTAAACCTAAAAGGTTTATCTAAAAGTAAGGTGCGATTGTAATTATCAATTTTGGTTACAAATTATTATTTTACATTATTTTGTGTATTAGTGTTTCTCCTCCTCCTTCTTGTGCCTTTACGATTCTGAAGGAATTTGAGCAAAATAAATAGAAAAAGGCCAATAATTGTGAATAACTTTAAAAAGTATTTGATTTTAAAATTAAACTTTAAGTTAAACATACCGAACAGACAAACATCATATTTCTCAGATCTTGTATCTAAAATATAGACATATACATATTAGCTATATATTATGCTAAATTAAGAAACTAGGTCTCATAGAAGTCCCAATTGGGTTCAAAAAATATTTAAATATATTTCAATATTGTTATATCTTGGAGAATTCTAAAGTCGGAGTCAAATTAGGCGATAGTGAACCAAAATAAGAGTTAACCAATGATATGAACAAAAAATAGACTGTATTAGGGATTTTTTTTTTATAAAATAAACTAAAAAATCAATCCAAATTTTTTTATCTTGATCTTCAAATATTTAAAATTTAAGTATATAAAATTTTCTTAATATAACAATTTCAGCAAATAAATTATTAAAACATACATAATTACTCATTCTGTGCATATCATCAGCAACTTGTAACATTTTTGGAATTCCTTTAAATATTTGATTCATATCTGGGAATTGATATTGCTGTTGTGTTTGGAAAGGAGTAGTATCGTGTATTAAAGATGGTGGTAATTGATGATGTTCTAACATTGCTGGGGGTTGCATATGGCTGCTGCTGCCGCCCATTTAGTGGGCAACAGAATTGAAAATATTTTTATTTAAATTTAAGGAGATTTTCTCTCTGAAAATATTTAAAAAATTATTAAGAAGTTAAATATTATAATATAATTTACAAAATTAATGAAAGCAATATATAATAATTATCACTAAACTTTCGGTGTACAGTAAGCTGTTTCGAACTTTCACTTTTTGAGATTATTTTCTTTGATTCCGATTTCGAAATTTTTTTTGTTTCTAAGTATCTCTGAATATTACCCTACAAAAAAAGCCCAAAATTCTAAGCATAATTTTAGTATGTAAAAAATACAAGAAAAAAGCTTTAAAAATTTTGTAAATAAAAAGAAAAAGCAATTTGTTTATGCCAAAACCAATAATTTTGTTTGAGTGGTAAATTGAAGTGGACAGTTACATTCTATGTATTTTAAAATAATAGAACACTGTTTTATAATGAAAGGAAAGTGTAGTATATTATTAAAAAATGAAAGAACAAGAATGGCCAAATGAGAAAAAATTGGTAATAGAGGGTTAAAGGACATCTGCCGGATTTGAATTTTTAGAAAAAAATTCGCCTGGAATTCTTGGATGGCTAGGAAGCCAGAATCCTCCCTTCTCTAAAGAATTGATCCTCAATTCTTTGGTTCGGTTAACAACCCCTGATTGTCATGAGATATGTATGAAAATAAAAATAATTATACAATGATAAAAATCAAATTGATCCGAACAATCACCCAAAAGGTCAAGTTAATTTTAGAAAAATATTTTAGGTTTTATTTTGAATGATTATTTTATTTCTGATTAGTTTGGCAGTTTAAAATGGCTGCAGGTTTCACCTTCAATTGTTGATAAATAATAGGCTTTCTGAAAATCCGGATAATTATTTAAGATTTTCTTTGTTAATTAATTAGCACACCATTATGTAAGAATGAGATACCGAAAAAATTTTTCGAGTTGCGTCGCATCTTTTCCGTTTCCTTAAGCCAAGGGTAGTCAAAATTCTGCAAAGTTGAAAAGAAAAAGCTTGTCAATTTCCAAATAATTTTTTGAATTAGAAAAAAATATTTTTAGCATTCCCCGGAAGTATCTCTTTTTTTAGAAGTTATTTTCTCCTCTTTTTGGATTTGGTAACAAAAATGTCTTTTTTACTTAGGTTCTTTATAAAATGTTTCTAATTTTTGTGGACTTAACTAATTTTAATTTTTTGTCAATATTTTTTTTCTTAATTAATTAGAAAATTAGAAATATCCATAACGATGGATATCTTTGGGTTTTATGTAGTGTAGTTAGTCACTTTTATTTTTTGGAAGAATTTTTGGAATTTTTGGCAGTTCTTTTAAGTGTTTAATTTTACAAAACCTAAAGTAATAACTACTTAAAATTCACGTATAAAACTTTTCGAATAAGAACAAATTTTGGCGCAATCCGAATTTAGGGGAATAGGGAAAATATACAACAAGGTATTAATTTAGTTTTTGCATCAAGAGTTAAAAAATTTTAAAAAATCAAAAAAGTTTTAATAAAAACAATTAAAAAATTTTTAAATAAAAGCATTTTTACTTTTCCTTTTTTTAAAAATAATTTAAAAGAGAATGGAATTGGCATAAGGATTGAGGCCAAAAATGAGTGAAAAGAGAAGAGTAGTTATTTAGTAGTAGGGGACGAGTATTTAGCTTTTCAACGACGGCATTCTTTTTATTTTATTTCTTCACTAAAAAACAAATAATACCCTTCAATTTGCGTTCAGTCATGCAAAAAATTTATAAAAATAAAATTGTTTTTTTCAGTTAAAAAACGTTTTTAAGTTTATTTTTATGGTTTAAATGAGAACTTTTTCTAATAACTAGAGACAAGATTTTTTGGTTATTAACAATTTTGAAATAGTTCTGCCTAGAGTAGCTTAAATAAGTTGTTATTTTTTTAAATGGGTTAGGGTATTAATGGATTTTGGTTAAATTAACAACATATTTTTATGGTAAAAAGTTTAAAATAAAATTTTAATCAGCAATAAACTGATAGGGACACAAGGAGATTTAATTACAAGTTAAATATTTGGGTGCCCAAGGTATATCTTAGGCAAGATTTTGTAAATTTTCCTCAAAATTGTAAAAAGACAAAGAAAAATTAACCCAAAAAATATTTTCAAACATTTTATTTAAATTTCCCAAAGGAAAAACTTATCAATAACTTAAATAGAAAGGCAAGAATAAATAGAAAAAGCTTTAAAAAATTAATTTTTTTGTGTTTTTGACGGCAAATTTAAAATAAAAATGGAAAAAATGTAAAGAATTTCCAAAAAAATTTTAAAATTTAGAATATTATTTGAAGATTTTTAAATTAAATAGTTAAAAATAGCTGATAAAAGAATTTAAAAACATTTATTTTGGTTATCTTACAAAAATAATTACAATTATATTTTTGAATTTAATTTGGCGGGGTCGCTATAGTATAGGTCCACCGAGATCGGCACTAATAGTAAATACCATTCGATTCGTCTCACCGAGCTGAGTTCAAATATGCAAGAATTTTCTGCGGGAGACGAAAACTCGCTGAGATACAGGCCCTCGAAAATCGAAAAACCATAGAGGGGACCAAGCACTTTTTTGGGGTAAAAAATTCGAATATGCAAATAGTAGCTCATTCGAAAGAGCTCCTCGAGCTGAGTCGAATGACACCAAAATCATCGTGATTGGACAAGTTTGGACAAAGGTACGATAGAAAAACTAAAACCTAAACCTATGGGGCGTAGGCGAGGCGCTTGTGCAAAACCCCGCGCTTCGCGCGGGGTTTTGCGGCACGCGCCTCGCGGGGAGTCTACGGGTGCTGGGTCTGGGCTCGTAACATAAACCTATTCCTATCTCACTTGCTCTGGACGTATTTGGGGCCTCCGTAGCAGCAAAAATCTCCACAGATGCCATAGGTAAGGAGCTAAAACTTGTCCAATCATAACTTTGTCAAATCAAGTCAGATTTCGTTGATTTTGGTGTCATTCGACTCAGCTCGAGGAACTCTTTCGAATGAGGTATAATTTGACTATTCGAATTTTTGACCCCAAAAATCAGCTTGGTCCCCCCTTTGTTTTTCGATTTTCGAGGGCCTGTATCTCAGCGAGTTTTCGTCTCCCGCAGAAAATTCTTGCATATTTGAACTCAGCTCAGCGAGACGAATCGAATGGTATATACTATGAGTTCCGATCTCGGTGGACCTATACTATAGTACAGCCAATTTGGCAGTCCGAACAGTTCAATAATAATTCGTGGCGCGAACTTTACGGAGCTAAAATTTGCGGAACGAAAGTTGCGGACCCGAAGGAGACTCTATTGTCGGTCCGTAAATTTCTGGTCCGCAAGCTCGAGTCCGCAAATTAAGATCCGCAGAGTTCGGCGTGCCTATTAATTATGTTCAATGTATGCCGATATATTTTTTCCGTATATTTTTCGCCCTCTTTTTTTGCTTATTTCACTGAATTTTTCCGTATTTTAAGCATAATTAAAATTATTTTTAATGTGTCTGGAAAAGAAGTTAAATTTGTTTTAAACGCTTGTAAGAGAAATTTTTAGCATCCCGCTGGGCGAGAGAGAAGAAATGGAAAATTTTGTAAAAATAAAAAAAAAAGTATTTTAAAATAAAAAAGTTTAAAAATTTAAATTTTTGAATCGAAAAAAAATTTTAATAAAAAGATAAAGAAAACAAGGAAAATTAAATTGAACATAAAAATGTCAGGAGAAGCATCTCGAATTAAATAAAATGAAAAAAAATTTTTGTAAAATTAAAAAAAATTGTAAAGTCATCGAATTGGTGGGATTAAAAAGTATTTTTGAGGATTTGATTGAGTGAAATAAAAAATAAAGAAAGACAACTGTCAACAATTAATCAAACTAATGCAATTCTTTATTTATTTAATGGAAGGGGGACTTTATGTTTTTAATGTTTGTCATCTTTTTTTAAAAGATTTTTTGCTGTTTGGGGGGGGGGGGGGTGGATTTTAAGAAATTATTAAGTAAAGTATTTTTTTAATATTTAATTAATATAATTAATATTCAGAATTTTGTGAGGTTTTAGAAAAAAATTTTGGAAGAATTCTTAGAAAAGTTGATAAAAAGTAGACAATAATTATTTAAAATTTAATTATAAAACATCGAAGGAACTGATTCTTAGGCATTACATATTTTCCTCTAAAATGTCTTTTAGAGTAAATTATTATTCAAAATTAATAAAATATTATTTTCCAAAAAATTTTATACTTTCTATATTAAATTCTAAAGGACCACGAGGTAAAACTATCAAAAATACTAATAAATAGTAAATAAGTCTCAGCAAATAAAAAGTAGGTATAGAACAAGAGCTAAAATAGCCCCAACTATTTAAAAATTATTTCTTTTCTCATTATGTAGCTTATTGTTGGCCTAGCTAAACAACGAAACAGCGGTGGGATTGAAAAATTAAAAAAAGTAAAGTAAAAGCCACTTGAGTTGAAAAAGAATTTAAAAGGGGAACAACTGTCTTTGACTGATTGAAAATAATTTTGAGGAATAAATAAGCTGATGAAGGAAAATTAAATAAATAAATATTTTTATTAAGAGATTTACTTTGTTATTTAAAATCGTGTCAGGGCAGTTCACAAAAAAACAGTTCACCAAACGTCAGTTCACCATAAGGCAGTTCACAAAAAAACAGTTCACACATGGGGTAATTCACAATAAGTCGATTCACCAAATGGACAATTCACCATATGGGAAAAATTGACAATTCACCATATGTGTTAAATCTTATCTAAATTAGCCGAGGAAGTGATCAGCCGGTGGAGAGATCACTCTCCAGAAGAGTGGAAAGTGATCAACCTGGAGAGTTCAAAAGAAGCTTGATCAACCTGGAGAATGATCAACAAGAAGATCAATCAAATGATATATATAATCACTCCACCGGCTGATCACTTCTGGCTGATCACTCCACGGTTGATCACTCCACCGGCTGATCACTTCTGGCTGATCACTCCACGGTTGATCACTCCACCGGCTGATCACTTCTTTGGTTGATCATTTCTTTTGCAGATCACTTCCCTGGTTGATCAATCCAACGGTTGATCAATCTACTGGCTGACACCTTGTTGATCACTCCATTGATGATCACTCACCGGTTGATCACTTCATTTCTCGGCTGATCACTCACCGTGTCGATCAATTTCCCGGCTGATTAACCACCATGTTGATCAATTCACTGCTGATCACTCATTTTTATCGCGGCTGATCACTTCCTCGGCTGATTTAGATAAGATTTAACACATATGGTGAATTGTCAATTTTTCCCATATGGTGAACTGTCCATATGGTGAATCGACTTATTGTGAATTACCCCATGTTGTGAACTGTTTTTTTGTGAACTGCTTTATGGTGAACTGACGTTTGGTGAACTGTTTTTTTGTGAACTGCCCTAGACCCATTTAAAATAGTTTTGATGATATTTTAATAAACTTTTTGAGGGAAAAAGATTATATAAATATCAGATACATTAGAAAATATGGTCGAACAAAATTTTAAAAAATGGCCGAGAACAATCGAGGCACGAGTTCGAACTCTACTAAAAATATGGATATAAATATTCATATACTTTCATACTAACAAGAACCATATATCCACATATTTTAGTAAAAACTTGATTTATCTTTAATAAAAAATTTGCACAGGCAAAGTTTTGTCAAAATAATACGCATAGTTATATTATATATGTATATTAAACATAATTTTTTATTTTAAGAAATTTTTAAAACCTTTTTTATGCATAATCTTCAATCCTTCCAATTACTACTATCCATTTATTATAATCACTTCATTATTATATCATCCCACATATTATAATCATTTCAAAATCAAAATTTTAATCTGAATTTAAATTTGAGAGGCATTTCTCTCAGAGTATAATAATTTAAAAAGATTTTGTTTATTGAGCAAGTTATAACTTAAATTGTCGGGATCTGCGGTTACTTGGAACTGGAAATAGCACCCAGGGTGTCTGCAAGTAAAAAAAATTTCACAGCCGCAATCCGCAGTTCTAATGTCGAAAAAATACGCAATTTTACGCAATCCGCAGTCTGCAATCTGGGGATATAAGAGGTAGTCTGTGGATATAATAAAGTGAGTTAATCATTATGGGATATCGGACGAGCCACCAGTCTCTTGTCCAACTATCCCTCAATATTGCCCTTAATCCCTCCAAGTCATCCTAAATCTCTCTAAATCCACCTTAATCCTATTTAATCTCCCTATATTCCTATATCAAGTAAGAGCGAGGTAAAAGTTTAATCCCGGGCAGGCTTCCTGGCAGTACTTGCTAGGCGATTTCGTTCACCACGTACAGGTGCTCTACAGATCAAGCTACCGGGACGCTGCTTTCACCTTCTTTTATTAGATCTTAAAGCCCCGCCTAGTAAATGAGCATATATATTAAACATTTTAGAACATTAAATGTATTACATATTTAAAATTTTTATTTATCTTTATTTTCTGTATTATTATTTTCGAACATTATCAATAGGAAAAGAAATGGAAACTATAAATAAATCTTAAAATTGATAAAAAGAAAATCCAAATATACTCTACTATAATGACCATGATCGTTTAAGTACTTCAAAGTGTTTCTTTCGTAATTCGCTCTCTTCAATAATTAAAATACTTCCATCTATAGTTAATGGGCCTTTTTTTGGAGACGTCTCTAAAGCATAAACTTTTGCTGAGTGAATTTTAAAAAAATTTCTAGGAAGTCCACTTAAAAGTTTTTTCAATTGTGAATGAAGAATTGGGTGTAACCTTGAATAAAAAAGTAGATTGAAGAAATATTATTGAAGAAATATTTGAAGAAATATTTGAAGAAATATTCTTCAGTTTATTTATAAAGAACATCCGACAATGATCGAATCCTCTTCTTTTAGAAGAGAAATGAGCCGTTTTATTCGTTCTGTTTAGCTAATATGATCTCTCTAACAAAACTAAATGAAACCAAATATAATCTTATGAGAGATCTAAGTATAAGGTTTTCTATTGATTGAAGTTGGAGGTATTTAAAATCTTTTTTTTTCAAACGAGCTATAGAACGGGGATGGACTTTCTTTCGCTTCCGCTTTTTATAATTGAAAATTACCCTTCCCTGCTATAGAATAATATGCAATTTGTCGGTATATGCAAGATAATATTAATAGAACTATAATGTATTTGAACAATTTAAGTTTATACAAACTTACATAATTATCGTTAATTCAATAGATAAATTACAAAAGGCAGTTATTACAAAAACAAAAACGAAAAGTATGTCGATTAAAGGTGATTCCTAAATATAATTAAATAAACGAGATAATCGAGTAATAGTTGATTCACAATATGAAGAATATCTCAGAAACAATATTATTTTGTATTAAGGTACAAAATGATATCCAATGTGTTTTTAATGGTCTTTTCCATAGGTTCAATTTTCAGAAATATGAAAATATTTACCTTTACTTGCACATAGTTCAAAATAAAAGTTATCCCAGTGGACACTAGAATGTTTATAAAATGAAAAATAAATGTTGGTTTTAATTGACGGCTAGTACGGATATTTTCTGCCAACTAAAAATTAAATTAAACTTAAATTTAACAGAAAATATTTAGCCTGGTATCTTTCAGTAAGACTGTGTTTGAAATAAAGAAATTTTCTTAATTTGTATTTTGTATTATTGTAATACCCAATGTATCCAATTAACTTTAATTAATTTAAAAAATAATTTTAAATTAATTTGAAATAAAAATAAAATTTACAGCAATTTCAATTAATCCCAAACTCAAAGTTCCACAAAAAGTAATAAACGTTCCAAGGGTTACATCGAGAATACAATCCCCATAAGTTTGTTGATATGCATTTTGGAACGAAAGAAAAGTCTGAAAATATTATAAATTTTTATAAATTTGCACTGAAAAATTCCTAATTCTAAGTGTACCGTATTTACTCGATTAATTCCCCCGAGGAATTATTTTTTCAACTCATCCCTGTCATGGGGAATTAATAGGGGGTGGGGAATTATTCGAGGGTGGAAAATTAATCGAGTAAATACGGTATATCCGAAAACCATCAAATTAAAAAACATACCACAATAATAAAACAAAAAATACTAAAATAAGGCTTTTTATTATTTTCATATTTTGACACAAAAACAGTAGCTAATATTCTTTCGAGAATGAGGACGTGTCCAATAAATGTGCCTAATATCATGCTGCCTAATCCGAGCATTTCTATAAACTTGTGTTGAGAGTTATAAAAATCAACGTTATTAATCAACATGTTCAAAACCTTTAAAAAATTTTTGAAATTATTTATTGAATATAAATCAATTATATTTTATTGGTCAAAATATTTAACTAATTTGTAAGTTACGGATTGAGTACGAATCATATTCTATAGCTCAAATATCCTGCCCCTTATAAGGACCAGCGCCGTTGAAATTATCATATATTTGCCTTATTTTTGTCATTTTTAGGATCCTTTTTAAGATATAGGAATATACAAGAGAGCCAAAATCAAAGACTTGAATAAATGCATAAAATGATTAGTTTTGGAGCTTTATTATATTCGAAATTTTAAATATTTTTAGATTTTAAAATAATTCCCCTTTTTGCCCTATACAGTGCGTCCGTAAATTATACGACCACTTGTATTTTTTGTCATATCTTATCTTTAACATGACATTTTCGCTTCATTTCTTTTTTATATTATTCATTTATGTATTCAGAATTCCTAGCCAAAATTTCATCTAAATATTTCCAACCATCCCTCAGAAAATTAAATTTAATTAAAAGTATTCGTTTTTCAAGCGTCCGTAAATTATACGACCACCTTGGATAATCATGTTTCGGATAGTAGGAAAAATCCACAAAAATTCTGGTAAACATATACCGTATTTTTCCCAATAGAAGCGCATGCGCTTCTATTTTTCAACCTCCTCGTAGACTGCGCTTCTAATGGGACGTGCGCTTCTAATGGGACCTGCGCTTGTATTTTTCAACTCCTGTGAGAATATACCTAATCCGACGATATCAAAATTTATTCCCAGATTTTGCTCTTAATACACCCAAATCCCACGATAATCAGCCTAAATCCCGCTTAATCCCTTGATATCCATCTCATTCCCATGTTATCAAACGTCATCCCCTTAATCTACACAAATCCTCCGAAATAATATCATCATTGATTTTCAACCCGGAGCCAACACGGATTCGGCGGATTAAGATTTCGGCGGATTAAGAGAGATATCGGCGGATTAACGAAAATAGTAACTCGGATTTGGATGCTGATCCCCCGCATCACTGTCATCAAATAATACCCAGCTGATGATGAATAGGTTTTAGTAAAAGTGATGCTTTTATTAAAATTATTTTAAAATACTGTTTTATAAAAATTACCTGATCGACCTAAAAAAATTACTCGACCTAAAAAGTTGAGCTGAACTCGGGTTTTTCAAACTTGACATACTCGAGCTCGATTTTTTCCCAATTACTCGGTACTCGACGTACTCTAGTTTAAAATAGTAACTATGTAATAGAGTAATTGCTCAAATAAGTATTTCATAGGATGCGCTTCTAATGGGACGTGCGCTTCTAATAGGACCTGCGCTTGTATTTTTCAATCCTCTTGTAGACTGCGCTTCTAATGGGACGTGCGCTTCAAATGGGACGTGCGCTTCAAATGGGACGTGCGCTTCTATTGGGAAAAATACGGTATATTAATATTAATGTAAAATACAAAAGAAACGGAGTTTTATTATAACTCCATCATCGAGATCTCGGAGCCCGAAAATCAACGGAAAACCGTGGTAAATGTCTTTAAAAAATTTTTTCGACCCCTTATAGCTTATATTAAATTTTGATTTTATACTTTTCTGAAAGCCCTTTAAATTTGCTATAAGAAATCCTTATTGTTAATAAATCGAAAAATTTTAATTGGGAAATATTGAGGGTTAAATGCAATGGAAATGAAAATCATTAAATCTACCCCATGAAATGCCCTTTCTTAGCAACTTAGAAATTTAATGAAGTACAACTTAATGAAAAAAATTTACTGTAAAATAAAAATTGCAGATATTATAGCAAATTTAAAGGGCTTTCAGAAAAGTATAAAATCAAAATTTAATATAAGCTATAAGGGGTCGAAAAAATTTTTTAAAGACATTTACCACGGTTTTCCGTTGATTTTCGGGCTTCGAGATCTCGATGATAGAGTTATAATAAAACTCCGTTTCTTTTGTATTTTACATTAATATTAATATATATGTTTACCAGAATTTTTGTGGATTTTTCCTACTATCCGAAACATGATTATCCAAGGTGGTCGTATAATTTACGGACGCACTGTTTTGACTGATTTCGCACTTATTTTTCTTAAATTTTATGGGATGCACCCTATTTTAGTTTTTTTTGGAAATGGTCGTGCTTTCTAGACGTCTCTGTAAAATATTATAATTAATTTATTTTTAATGTTCTTTTTTCAAAAAATTGTATATTAGATTTGTGACAACCTCAATAGTTCTACTAATGCCATAAATTAAATTACAAAAGCATTGCCACAATAAAATAAATTTTAAATTCCAATGTAATAAAGATGTACGTACAATAAGAAATACAAAAATAAAAGAAATTGGTAATAAAATTAAATGAATTAAAAGTTCAATATATCCAATTGAATTACAAAATATTTGAACAGAATTGTTATTTAATGAAGAAATATTGGAAGAAGAATTACTTGGGGTCTTAATTGGATTCATTAACTCTAAATTTTAAACTTAAAACAATGCTCCAAAATAGGTGAACAGCACTTTTTAGATTAAAAACAAACATATCAGTTAATTGATACCAAAATTGAGTTTTAAAGAGCAAAAAACGCGGAGAATTCTTACTTTTGCTATGAGGGATCGAGACGTAGAATTATTAAAGAAAACCTCATTATGGGAGACTGTGATGGGGGGGCAATCTTACTAATTATATAATACCCAAATTTGCGTGAGTTATTAAAGTTTAATTAACAACCTATTTTAATGCATTAAAAGTCAAAAATTTATATAGAAATATCAATTATTATTTTTAAAAAAAAATAAATAGCTAAAAATAAATGTAATTGTAATAAATAAATATGGCAAATTTTATTGAAAAGCATTAAAAGGTTGCTATACAAGAAACTAATAATCTAATAACATAACACGAAAAAATCTAATAAAAAAATACTTTATATTAATAGATATATTCTTGTTTAAAAATAAAACAAAAAAAATATTTCTGAGAAAAATATTTTTTACAAAAAATTATTTAATTATAATTAACACACAACAGAATATGTTTTTATTTAAATCAGAATTATTTACATACAAAAATTATATGTAGATAAAACATTAAATATTAAATAATGAGAAATAATAATATCACAGAAATAATTTTATTTACTTTTATTTTTGGCACTCCTGCCGTTTGTGAGGGGGGGGGGGCAGTTTTCTTACCATTTTGTCTTTTCTAAACTAAATTCATATAAGTAATGAATTTTAGTAATTATTACACACTGAATTTTAATAATTAATTATCAGAGTTTGGAACAAATGAACTAAGAGTTCCCAAATTAGATGTAGAAATTTTACACACATATGTTTTATCCATCATGTCCCGATGATTTTTGAAATGAGATTCAAATAATGTCTTATGTTTTTTGATCAGCAGGATCGAAACAGATTTTAAAAAGCGAACGGCGAAAAACTAAAGGCGAAATTTTTAGTTTTTCTGGTATGAAGGGAAATCTTTAAGAATCAAAGCTTTGGTCATATAATTTCAAAGCTTTGATCAAATTTTCCAAATCCACGGATGAACTTCTTAATCTCTAAATATATCTAGGGATTTGTATAACTAAGGATAAGGATGTTACCAAATTTTAAGATATCCGGATCGTGACCCAAAATTTTTATTTGAGTAGTTGAATATTAGTCTTCTTTTAGAATTTTGAAAGGCCGATCAGCCAGAGTTCTTCTTTCAGCGCTACAGCGCATTTCGCCAAAAAAGCGAACGGCAAAAGTCCAAAAACGCCGAAAATTGGCAAAAGGCAAGAGACGAAAGTCCGAAAAAGACGAAAGGCGAAACTGGCACATCCTTGTTGTGCAAATACAGAGTACATTTTGACATTATTTATTTCGCTATCTTGAAAAATTGGTCGAATCGGAATTAGAATAAATATATCTTTTTATAAATTTTTCATTCACAAGTGTGTATCTCTTAATTTAATTTTCTCCTTTATTCGTGTCAATTTTAGATAAAATAAATGCATTTCACTTAATTTATTTTAACATAATATGCAAGTATGTACATTGTTTAATAATTCTCGTTAAAAATTTAATACTTAAACATTTGATTTTAAGTATATAATTGTTTGGCTTAAAAATACTTTAACAAACAATTATATAAATCCCATAATTATTTATATAATTAATGTGGATATTTAAATAAATTAAGGTCCACAAATGGTAAAATACTAGGTATTGCATTTACATTTTAACTTTTTCTGTGCGCATGTCTTGTGAGCTAACTAGATTGAAATAATTATTTAATACGTAAATGTACTACATAATACGTACGAAAAGAAGATTATTTTAATTGTTCGGTACAATTGTTATGTAAATATACTTTAGTATATATACCTACATGGTTATCAACTATTTGCCATTCATTTTAATTATTTAAAATGTACTTTTTAATTTTTATTTATTCAAAATTGTTTTGTTTATCATTTATTTTAACAAGCAATTATACATATAAATGCCATAATTTGTCTTTTGTCATTTAGGGAAGGAAAAGAAAAAAACAAAACTACTATTTGACACAAAATTAGAATTATTCAGAGATGCTCGAAAATTTTCATTTGTCTCGTTTTTCGTGATTTTCGTGGATTTTTTGTGATTTTCGTTTCTTTGCAAATCTATTATTTTTTCCTTTCGTTTCGTGTTTCGTTGAAAGATAACTTCGTTCGTTTTGTAATTTGGCATTTTTAGACGAAAATTACGAAAAAATCTTCATTTCCTGACATTTTTTAAATTTTTCTTTATTATTTCAGGTGAATGCGGGGATATAAATAATACCAGAGGGTTTCTATGGATTAAGGTAAATATCGTGTAAACTTTGATATTGCCCTAGATCTTAATATCTAATATTTCCAAATCCTATTAATCCTTCGATATCCCTCTTAATGTCCAAATCCATCAAATAAAGGAATTTGGGAAGATAATGGATCTTCCTCAATTCCTTTTTCCCTTCAAA